AAATCGTTGTGCGTGTGGTGATTCTAAGAATATTAAAGTAAGATATTCATATTTTAATATTTTTATGTCAAACTATTGAATTTAATATGACTTTCTTTTTCCAGTCAAATGTGAATAATGCACGGCAATTTAAATTAATGGAAGAATTTAGAGTCTGTACTGTGGAAGCTCAAGCAGCAACAGAAGACATTCGTGAAGAGATAAGCACCGTTGTCTCAACGTTTAATTCACGACACCAGAATGTATGTGTAGATCAATAAATAGATCGGGATAAGTTTGTGATAAAATTAGCGATTAATGCTAAATTAATACATTTTCAGTATGAAGAATTGAACAAGATGGTTACTAATGTGCAAAGTTACTTGACAAGAACACGAGAAGGATTAATAGAAGCAATCAGCAGACTAGAATTACAAGTAATATTTATAATAGCATATCAAAATATATGCCTCTCTTATGATGAATATCATTGAAATATACAATTCTATTTTAAGTTTCAGTATAAATTAATTACAATTTTATTATTGAATCTACTATTGAAAAATATCTTTCTTTTTTATTTCAGGAAGAAGAAAGATTAAGGCAAAGCGAAAGAATCGTGAGTGGCAATCTTAAACTGAAGGATATAAAAAATGAAATTAATCATGTCCAATCAGAATTATCTCGTTGCATTAATGGTATGCAGGGGAATATACAGGTTCGAAGTATTTATTAAATAATTATTTTAAATACTTTATCGATTATTTTATCATACATGAAATATAAAATAAATTTTAGGGATATAATGCATCCGAATATACAGAAGCATACGTCAACAATGATTTACTAACTATGGTAATGGAAGAAGTTGAACAAATATTGACGAATTTGCAATTATTCCAAACTCAGGTTTGTTCAGAAATCAGAAGAAAAATAGCTTCTGTTCAAATTTAACCTAAGTATTATATTGTCTTTTAGGGAGGTTGTGTGACGTCAATACTAAAAGGATTAAGAAGTCAGTTATGTACTATAGATAACTCTTTAAAGGATTTACAGAAAAAAACCGGTGAAGTGGTAAGTACTTAAGAAGATGTGTGTGTGTGTGTGCGTGCGTGCGTGCGTGTAAAAATAATATCTCATATATTTTCAATTATCTATGCAGCTATTGAACAATGAAATCGCAAAAACAACGTTCTGTGAAAGGGAATGCAGATTGGCTAAATTCGAAGAAGAAGTCGATTGTGCACATACAAAAATGCAAGATGTGTTGGAAACATTTCTTTCTACAAAACAGGAAGAAAAGGTTGCTATTTGTAATTTTTATATATATTGATTAAAAAGATTTTCTTGATTTTATTAGTATCTTTCGAAGAAGTAAAATTTTCTTACATATAAATTCAAATTCTTAATTATCAACTTATGAATTTAAATTTTTTTATGTTTTAAATAGTTTGTCAAAATGCTTTAAATTTTATTTATATTTAAAATTAAATTATTGATGTAGAAATAACAAAAAATAATTTAAATCGGACTCTCAAATAACTTTAAAATAATTTTTTTTTATGTAGAAATATTTTTATATGCAATAAAAAAACAAACTAGTTTTTTACTCAATCAAATATAAGAGTGTAGATAATATACAAACTATTAAAATAATTAAAATAATTAAATAATTAACTTAATATAAATATTATTTTACAGGAGCAATTTTCTCATTATATTTATGATAATCAGGTATTAAAGCAAGTATAATTATTGCATAAAAGTTTTTCTTATTTTTTAATTCATGATGTATCTATATCTATATACTATGCTTTATAGGAAGTAAATGACATAATAAAAACGAAAGAAGATTTACATAAATTAAGAAAGGAATACGATGATCTAAAACTCAACATGATCCAGGTAATTAAATTTATGTTTTGAAACAAACTATATTTAACAAATAAACTATTCGTTATGTGCAACAACTCATGCAAATTATTTATTGACCAACTTAAATGCAATATTATATGTATATGTTTGTAGCAAACATGTCAAATGAAATATGATGAAAGATTAAATAAATGGAAAAATCGTATGACTGATTTAGAAGACCAAATTCGAATGTTGCAACATGAGGTAAATATCACATTAACATTATTAAACATACATTATTAAAATCTTATTTTCAATTGTGAATTATAATTTCTTTGTAACAGGCAAAATGTAAACAAGAAGCAATTAATTTTTTAAAGAATAATATTCAATCTATAGAGAAGGAACTGATAGCTGCACGAACAAAGGCAGAAAATTATAGACAATGTCACAGCAAAGATAATATGGAATTGAAAAAGAAGATAATAGAACTAGAAAATACTGTAAGTATTATTTACTTTTTGCAAATCTAAAATTATCATTGAGATAGATGCTGACATTATAATTTTAGATCAAAACACAAAAAGAAGTAGAAAATGATCTTAAGAAAAATTTAAATAATGTAACAAATATTAAGAAATCTGCAGAAATCTCCAATGCTTTTGTAAGTAATTTTCTAATTATACATATTTGCAAATTTCCTTTTTCTTTATTAAAATCTCCATTTTTATTACAAAGCATACGGAGTGCGGCACAGAAGCAACACTTTTACGTTGCGATTATCCGTCCAAACATGAGGTAATTATATATTGAAACTGTATATGTATAATATATTAATGCTTTTTGCTATACATTTATATGGAAATTTTATGATAATAGTAAGAAATATACATTTACTTCTGAAGTCTTCTTTATAAGATAATAATAATAGTAACAAGAATATAACAATAATATAACAATAATAGTAACAATAATATTTGTATTTGTATATTTACGCATGAATATTAAGTACCAAAACCACTTCGACTAAAAATAGCATTTCTCTTTTTATTTGTTTAATAATATTTGTATTTTTTTATTCCAGAATATATCTCACTTGTTCAAAACTGTGCAAGATGCTGTGCAATCTGCAAAAGTGACAGTACAAGACTTTGAAAATGAATTTAAAAAATTGGTTTGTTTTTTTTTTCATTATATTATCATATTTGGCAATGCTACAGAGACTACTATGAACATTTATTTACAGATACGTGATGAATCCTCTCTTTCCTCTGTTTCGGCAAAATCTACTGTGACTTTAACCGATTTATTAGGAAAATGTAAAGAAAAATTGGATACTTGTTTTCACGAATTAAGCAAACTTAAAAATGCTGTATATTCTAAAGAAAAACTTGTAAGTTATATTTATTATTTTTTATATATGTGACAAATTATATAAGTAAATAGTGTAAAATACATATGAATATTTATATTTTATTTCTAAATAAAATTAGATATTTTCTCAATAATTACACATAAAATCATATCAGAATGTAAATTAAAGAACCAAAATAATTTTAGTTAGAAAATATGGAGGAAGTCGTACGGATACAACGAAATTCATTGACAATGAGCCAAGCAGAAGTAAAAGATCTGCATCAAAAGTTGCAAGAAAAGGTAAATTGATTATATATATTTTTTTAAGCAATAAGCAGAAGAGATATTATGATACTATATGAGAATAGTTTTTGATTTAAAAATCATAATATCATTTTTAATTAAAAGTTTTAATTGTTATTTCGTAATCATTTACGCTTTTTCAATGTATCTTGTGGATTAAACGACACGTTAATTAAATGCAAGCACAGAAATTCTGCCCGTTTATCAAGAATAAAGTTTTAAGGTATGTATGATATTAGAATATTAAAAGAAATCTGTTTACAGATAGATAAACAAAGCTTTGCAATCGCGCAATATGAGAGAGAGAAGAATGAATTGTTGAAGCAGGTTTGTCTCTTCTTTTCTGCTTAGTCATCGTGCTTAATTGTGATAAGATTTATTTTTTAACATTGTATTGCAGAATGAACTTCAAATACAAACTATCGGACATTTACAAAATGCTGTTGTTGAAGCTAAACGAAATTTGGATCAAATGGCTCATAAAACGATGAGTGATGTGAGTGAGCTGAGGCCAGCGATATCGTCTACAGCCTTTAGTCATAGAAATGTGCATGATGTTTGAATATGAATTATAAATAGTTAAATTGCTATATAGTTTTTTCGTGCTAATATGTATTTATTACAATTGTAAATATTGTCGATATACAAATGCTTATTAAAAATATGATTCACGATGAATATATGGACTATCACATTTCTCTTCGCCTTTAATTTACATTTATGTTGTGATATTGCGAATGCAAGAAGAGTATGAGTGCCATGCATGAAGTTTGCTCATTTAAAACATTTAAAGCTTTTGTGATATCATATTTGAATATCCTGTTTACGAAGTGACAAGAGATTATGGCATGTACAAGCGTAACATGCTGCCTGGATTAACAAGTTGGATGATCAAGTTGTAGCTGTTGCATTTTGCAGTTAACAAAATAATATGAACTACATTCGTGCGTGAGTGTCCTCTATTTCTAAACTTGAAAAACACGGATTGTACGAGAAATGTATTATAAATATCTTTGCAGCTTGGTAAGAAGGATGAAACTATACGTCAACTAATGATGCGCATCGATGAAACGCAAGATCAATATAATGAATGTTTCACAGAGGTAAACCAAAATTATTTGTATTAATTAGAAATTATTTCTTGACTAATATATTTTTTCTAAGCATTGTTAATTTATATTTTTTATCTCTGCAAAGGCAACTAATCAAGATATACTGCTGGACTTGCAACGAGATGCTATTGAAAGTCTGCATAAAAGGATTCGTTGTGTGGAGTATAATAAACGTTTAATCGCTATTACGTTACATGCAATATATTATTCAATTTTAAGCGAAATACAGGTATATGCAGCTATATACGCTTTATTTTTGAATAATCTATATTTTTATGATAATCAGAATAATAAGAGATCATGTGTATTTTCAATAAAGAAATGTGCATGTCGAATAAGTGTTATGTTTTCTAAAGTAGTTGTTAACGAATGATTTTAAAAATTATGGTATGACACGGATCTTTTATGAAAATAACGTTATCTGAATCTTTTCAGGAGCAAATACGCGATCATGTAAAGAATTTCCGAGAATTGAAAGGGAAGGTAAATTATTAGAAATATTTATATTCTACAATGATATTTTTGCATTTTGTATATATATATAAACATATTTTGTCACAGATGGATAATTTTATGCAAACGAAGGATTGCTCCAAAAATAAATGCACAAACAGATCGTGCGCAATATATCTTAAAGACAAAAACTGCGATACTCAAGATTTGGAGTACTCGAATAGTACCACATATGGAATATCACACATGGAAAAACGTTCTGGTAACTTACATGTATAAGACGAAACCTAAGCTTTTCAAAAAGGATATAAATTTACAAATGCAAATTAATTAAAATTTTAGCAGAAATGAAGAACATCACTCAGATACAAGAATTAAAAGCAGAATTACAAAAGGTAAAGGATACAGAGTGCGATTTAAAATGCGAAAATCAGCAACTTCAAACTAATCTACAGCATCACGTATCAGAAACTGACAATCTAATGAAGAAAATAGAGCAAAAGGAAATTGAATATGAGGAACTTTTGTTGAAATTAGAAAATGGGAAAAAAGAGGTGATGACATTTAAACTCTATTTTTTTTATTTTTAAATTATTCTCTTATCGTTATGAAATCAAAACTTGATGGATATCCATTTTTCAAAAGAATTGATTAATTTCAAAAATTTATAGATCAATATGTTAAACGATCAAGTCATGAATAGCGAAAAAATTATTAAAAATCAATCTCATGAAGTTGAAAATCTTAAGAAAAAGTTACTCATGAATGATCAACAAACGGAAAATTTATCCGAACGGAATATATCGGAGCATGAGATGCTGACTGTTCTATGTGATCGAATATATTCTCTGAAAATTTTACTACAAGAGAAATCGGAAAACATGGTAAAATTGCAAGCCGATTATGAATTACTTAAGGTATGTAGGTAATTGTGTTGATATCTAGTATAAAAGTAGAAAACGATTTACATGTATTGAGATATTATCTGCTTCAGAATGAAAATTCTATATTAAAGAATCAAAATAACATTATACAAGCTCAAACCAAAGAAGATACTTTACAATTGAAAGAAAGGGTAATGCACATATAATAGCTCATATTTTTGTTAAAAAGAATATTTTATTACTTTTTTTTATCTTATTTAGCTGAAAGAGGCACGGATAAAATTGCGCCAGACAGAAGACAATTGTCATCAAATGACTAAAGAGCTCAATAAAGTTCAAGAACAATTAATATCTACAACAAAACGAGAAGCTGATTTACAAGAATCATTAACTATTATGGTAATCCTTTTTTTATTTGAAATAAATTTTATTAAAAATATGTATAAAAATTCTTCATAAAAATTGTTTTTCATTTAGGAAAAAGATCATTGTTTCAAGATTGAAAAAGTAGAAAATGAAGTAGTCCGTCTTCATGATTTAGTGAATAAACTAAGTGAGGAATTGGAAGAAACCAAAAAGACATTAGCATTGAAAAATATCGATCTTTGTCAAGCGCAAGATAAATGCAAGAATTATGCTGATCATTTGGACACTACGCGTCAAGATGTAAGCTTATATATTATCTAATAATTTTCTATTGAAGTAAATGGGCAATATACATCTTTAATATTTTTAGCTTGAAAGAGAGAGAGAGGAATTAACAAAGGTCGAAAATGTAAATCGTGACTTAATTCAACAATTGCAGGAATACATGAAAGAGAATTATCATCTTGACCGACAGAAAATTTCACTTGAACGAGATAATTCTACGTACATAACTGAAGTATGATATTTTTCTTTTGAACAACGAATATTAATTTAAATATTTTTTTGCACTATATATAATAATCAGTGCACATTAATTTTTTCTATTCTAATCATATATATTATTAATTATAATTCCAAGCTATTATGTTCATTAGTTACAAGATATGCGCAAATCTTTGCACGAGTTAAAACAGGAATGTCACTTGAAGGACCAATCTTTAACAAACATGTCAGCTGATTTAACTGACACAGCAATGAGTAGATCAAAACTTTGCAAAGAATCTCAATATATAGTTTCATGCATCCGTGACTGTATGGAGCAACAGAAAAAATACAATGAAACTCTGTTGAAAAAGTTGAAAAATAAGCAACAACTTATAATGCAGCTTGTATTCGAGAAAAAGTAAGTATATGATACATTTAATATATCGAAATATGTTTTCTGTAATTATTTAAAATCAAGAGTTCTTTCTTTTCTATACTTAATATTAAATAAAATTTATTTCTAGAACTTTATTAATTAAAATCCGGAAGATGAAACGAATTAATTTATTGGCGCAAAAACTGAAAAGAACGCATAAGTTAGCTAGTAGAAGTTGTAGAAAAGTGCATACTAACGGTTATATATCACCGTCAATTGCGTACCAGACTACGGATACTGATTTAGCTTCAAGTTGGAACTGTACAAATTCACGAAAGGTTGGTGCTAGTTAAAAATAAAAAGGAAATCAGCTTTATGATATTTAATTTACATTTATGTGCCTTTAGAAATATTCAACGAAACCGATCAAGATTGGTCGACGTACATCAACATGTGGCAATTCATGGTGGTTTCCCAAAATGGAACATTTAATAAATGAGGTTCGAAAAAATAATCGATGGTGGAATGAAAATTTTAAGAATGAAACGGAATCTGACACTTCATTGGAAGACAATCGTGATTACGGTTATCAATCCTCTTCTACAAGCAAATGAAAAAGATTCATAGAGGATTTATTTTGATAAAGATTGAAGAAAAAGTGTGAGATAGAAATTTGAAGTATGAATATGAAACGCAAATGAAATTTATAACGTGACTTAGTTAGTTTGTGTTGCGTCTTTTTTTATGTAAACATAATTTTCTACATATATATCAAATGTATAATCAAATGTATCCTTTTTTAAAAATAAATAGACGTTTCTTGTGTAACGTGCGATCATATCAATGTTCATTCATTTTTGTCAAAATCGGATAACGATACAGTAATGAGTCATACAAACGAGATGCAATAATATAATATTTTCCAAATATATTTTACGAAAAAATTCAAGTATTATTTCAGCCTGATCTGACGTAAATATTTCTGCGCATTTTGGTGGATCCTAGAATATTTTAATATGAAAGACAAATATATTCGATAAAAATTAATGTTAGTAAAATGCTCGATTAACATAATTACCATAATGGTACATTCAAGAACGCGCTCGAAAAAATATTTATATGTTTCCTCAGCTGTATTCCAATAGTTTGCAAGACACAAATTGTGAGTTATAAGCATTAATTTCATAACTGTCGCAATTTGTTCGTCAGTAAATAGATTCTTCCTAAATATGAAAAGTGATCAAATATAAGTAGAATGCTTATATAAGCCTCCACAGTTGTTGATGAATGGTGCGGAAATAATATATTTGTAAGATGACAAGATATAATTCGCAATCAATTAAAATGTATTTACTAATGAACTGCATAAATATTTCTGAATGAGTCCTCTTCAGTACAAAATAAGTACATACACTCAATTTGTACATTCTAATTGCTTGAAAATCATAAATATATTATTTAAATCGCGGAAGCTTGTATAGATATTTTATTTTATTTATATTTGATTTATTCTTGGAACTACAAAACTACTTTTATTTCTGTTTTAAATGAAAAATAATATTGGCTTTTCAAATTAAATATGAATTACCATATAACTCATGTAAGAAAAAAATAGATACTTTAATATATGTTGAAAATTTTACTTGAAAAATCTAAAAATTTGCCATAGAAGTTTTACGAGTATCTCTTTGTTTTCCTCTTTGTATAATATATCAGTTAAACATTTTTTTTCTGAAAATTATTATTTATATTTTCATCATATGTTATTGGCAATTTTAATAATTTAATGAATAATTAAAAAGTTCAAATTTTTACCGAGAAATAGCAAAATTGATTTTCGATCTTTTTGCTTTCTCATATAAGTTACATCTTCAGGCGTTATCAATTTAAAAGATAAATTGCACGGACTATCCAACGATACACTGTCGTATAGTTTCCAAGGTCCGCATATATCGTCATAATTTATATTACTTTCCAATTCAGGCATAGAATGTATTTTCCTGGATAAAATTTTCTGAACTTCTTGCATTTTATGTATATTATCGCATTCGTTTTATCAGACTTACACAAACGTCATTTATTTCTATACCATATATTCCAATATTTTATAACGATTCTAAATATGTTGGTAACATATCTATTGAACACAGAAGCATATTAATGTTGTATATGCCGAGTGAATATATAAATAAATCCATATTAACAAAAGATCTAATATCTTAAAAAGAAGCAATTGTTTAATTTTCTGTATAAATCTATGTTTTCTACAAAGTTCCGGTCAAATAAATGGGCAATCATCAAGAGCCGTCGTAATATTCACAAGTTTATTTTTTTTTTTGCCGTGTAATCATTTATAATTCATTATGAGTTGTCAATAAAATTAATATACAATATATTTTAGAGCAAGAAATTGTTTAGCCTCTCCTATCTTACAAGATCTCCGCGTGCCAAAAATTCATTAGATGTTGCATATTTTAAATGTACTGTTATTTTATCGGTATTTACGGTAATATTAACGGTGTATTATATTTTTATTAATTATCATTATTAATATTATTATTTATTATCATTAGCATTTATATACTTATTACATATATAAATCATATTTATCTATATGATTTATAATATATAATGTGTATTTATATATATTTATATATTTATAACGAACACCGCCCATTACACTACTAGAATTACAAATGGGATCTTTCTTTTACCACCTCTTAATAGATCTGATACTCAAAATAGATGATATATCGTCGATTACATTGAGACGCAGACTCTTAGTCAATCACTCAAGCAAAATGTTTGCGAATGTCCCACACAGTTCACTTCCCACTCTATTTTTCCCCTGTTGTGTGTGTCTTCTTCTCAAATTCATCGTAGCACACTCGTAGTGCACTTATCTTTGTAGATTATAGTACATATCTGTAATCAGAAATAGATAGCGCGTCTACTGCAATATTATTCTAAATACGTATGAATGCAAGTTTAATTAATATAATTGGAAACAACATCGAGTAATTTAGCTTAATTAAAAGTTTTACAGGTCAACGATACAAATTTGTGTCGATAATGTTGTGTTGAAGTGTAAACTTTCTCGGATATAATTAACAATTTACTTGCAACTTACCTAATTTAATCAAGAATCTCTGAGAAATAAATAATTTCCTCCATAGAAATAAAAACGATAATAAATAATTGTTTAAGTAACGTGTATATCATTGTTATAATTATTTTTGAAGTGTAATACAAAATGTACAGCTTACGAACGTATGCAATGATCGTCTTTTTCGTTACATATAAATGATAAGGAAAATGAGTCACAATGTACAATTCCATAATGTACTGTATTACAATTGTTGAATATCTACAATGCACAAGACTGTAACTACTGTAAAACACTTTATTTACCTGGTGAATATTAAAAATTTTTCTATACAGGAATAATAGAACCTACCTGTGATTTTTAACAGAATATATCTAGATAGTTTTATATCATAGCGAAAATAAGAATAAATATATAATTAGGATATAACAATATTAGAGATTGAAGAGAAGGATTGCACCCTGAGAATTTTCTTTTTTGTAACAATTTTAAACAGCTTTACCTATTATTATTATAAAATAATATTTCAGATATACAATCCAATGATACGAATCATTGCACAGGAAATGGGAGCATTATCGTAAATTACAAGAAACATTTCCACAAGCTTGCACAATAAATATCATGCACATGTATTCTTGTAGCACCTTTATCAGTCAGAAATTAGTATCCTCCAAAAAGAAAGGAAACTTTTACAAATTTATAATATCTATAAACATGTAGAGTGTCATATAAACACTACAATGTGCCTAAGAGGGATATCTAGTGCCTTATATTAAATAACTTCTCTTTTTCACGAAATTTTGAATAATACACTTAAATTAATCACGGATGAATATACGAGGATAACAGATGAAACGAAAAAAAACTAATAAAAAAGTATTATGCTTTTAAATGTATCTCATTACAATTTTTCATGCGCAAATAATGAAAAACTCTGACTTTAATAAAGCTGTCACAATAATGTAAATGCTATTTAAATCTAATAGAAATATATTGAGAAAAATCTTAGAGATTTGCTTTAATAGACATATCAAAGTAATAATTGTGTAAATAAAATAAAAGATTTTAGCTAAAGAATTAATTTAAGCATATATCCAACATCATTATATTGGATGTTTGTATTAAAGTTTGTATATTTTAAACAAATATACCGCTAAAAGAAAAATTTCTGAGAAATATATGTAGATACATTATTAACATGGAAACATAAAATTTAGAATCGTTTTCTCACACACACATACACACATTTGTGTGTTAACTACCTTTTAATTACAAGAAATTGTCAATGTTTAGCTAAATATTATACAGCAATATTACAGTTACATTTATATCCTGCATGTTATAAATTTGATGGTCATATATATTGGACTTTCAATCCGCGCTCTTTACCTCTTTGTCTATTTCCAGCCTATCTTCATATATCTACTATTATAGTAAATATAAAGGAGGCAAAAGTCGAGACGAATTATACACTATAAAAAATATCATAAACATAACAAGAAATATAATATACTCTATAAAATTGCATGACTACTCAGATACCCCATTATGACATACTAATACAAAAATCTGCTAAAAGCATTTTAAAGTGCAAATGTCTACTTCTACGCAATATCAAATTGATATATTCCCGTTTCCCCATTCTTCTTTTGATCGCGCTTTCGTTTCATTATATATTCTAATATTATAAAAATATGTGAACATGTTATTACACTGAACATTTGATTCGTAACATATTCATTAGGCATATATCAAATATTTGCTGGTTTTTTATCAATGGAATAATGTCTCTCATCAATTCAATCAATTTTAAAGATAGTATATATATATATATATATTTTACTAATATAATTTTAAAAAGATTTTATTTCTGCTTCTCACTCTAATCCATATAATTTTTGTATATCTCTAAAAATCTACCCTCAATTTGAAAAAATTTATTTTACAGTGAAATATATGAAATATATACATAATAAACTTTTGTTTATATATATATATATATATATATATATATCAAATATATGTAATGTAAAAATATAGATACGAATATATTGTGAGACACATACGGATTTAGATAATCACTTGCAGCAATTGCCGGTTGCTGCCTTTTGCCCATCTGACTCGACTAGTCGACGGCCTTGACCACTCGTACTTGCGCTTCCTGATTGTTCGTTTTTAGGAAGCTTTTTAGCTGTAAAAAGAAATATCCTGTAGCAAAACTGTGTCAACGTGTTTTATAATCATAAGCATTTTTCGAAGCTGTTTTTTTTTGCCGTTCAATGTAATGTAGCAACAGATGTAGAGTTGCAGTTACCACGTATTTCGAATAGCGATAACGCGTAACATGAGATAGAATCACATTTCTACGATAACGTACTTATTATCAAATAAAACAAAAAATTTATATATTTATGTAATTTGAAAATACTAATATTACTTTTGTAGTATAATTTTTATGCAATTATCTGCAGATAATGTGCAATTAAATTTTAACAGGAAAAAAATAAAAATATACACAGCTCACCAATTGCAAGGAATATGTCGTTAACATTCATTGCCGTCTTAGCAGATGTTTCCATGAAAAGAAGGCCATTTTCATCCGCATACGTTTGAGCTTCATCGTACTCGACGACTCTCTTATTTGCCAAATCTGCCTTGTTTCCAGCTAATGCTATTACTATGCTCGGACTGGCTTGGCGTTGCAATTCTTTTACCCATGTTTGGGCACGTGAGAATGTATCCTAGTAAAATAATAAATAATCAATATCAATTTCTGTCATCTTTTCTCGTTGATTTAACTTCGTTATAAATATTCTACTCCTTCAAATTCACACAAATTCTTACGAATTACTTACCTGATTTGTTATGTCATACACAACAATGGCTGCCTGTGCACCACGATAATACATTGGTGCAAGACTGTGATAACGTTCTTGCCCCGCAGTGTCCCAGATTTCAAATTTTACAGTTGTGTCATCCAAACATACGGTTTGTGTTAGAAATGCAGCTGGAAATAATTATATTCGCGATAGTGACAATACAATCAATGTAAAAAAAAATATGTGGCATTAAAGAGCAATTGCACATAAATATTCTTACCGCCAATTGTACTCTCCTGGTACTCGTGGAACTGTCCTTTGACAAACCTTAAAACAAGACTTGATTTTCCGACTGCTGATTCACCGAGTAAAACTAGTTTAAACTGACAAATTTTTCCTTGTGTCGATCCATTCGGCCTCTGGGCCGTACCCCGAGTCGCCATGATCACCTAAAAAGAAAATTAATTTCTCAATTTTAACTGATTTCGCAATTTCATTAATTGTTAACAATATTGCCAGCTATATTATTAACCAGAAGATATATTTATGGGGTATTTGAGGAGTATTCTTCTGTTTCATAATAAGTGTTGTATGTTTGGTGACATCTTCTTTCAACTTACTTTCAATTACATTTAAATGTTACAAAAAAGAGAATATAAGTAGAATGAAAAAAATTGAAGTTTATTGAAAGATTAGTATATTATATTCTAATAATACTGTTTCTTATTAGAAGAGTATTTAATGAAAAAAATGTATTCTATAATAAAATTAAGATTTTTTATGTATATAATGCAATATAAACATTAACATTACAATGATATTAAAGACTTAACATAATTCCTGAAATCAAAATAAAGGTACATCCAATGTTTAGATACACATCGAAAAACTTTATATATTTAATCTTTTTGTACAGAGAAGTGATATACTGTAAGATTTAATAAATTTCAGTTGTCATTGTACACAACAAATTCAATTCAATAAGATAAACATGTCTATTTATACTGGAGCTTTATACCTGAGATAAGACTTTGCTTCAGGCATACAGGAATTAATTACAATATTTTTAGATTATCTGTGACCTATGTATTTAGCAAAATCCAAATAGCAAATATAACAAGAGACACAAAACAGCATTTAAACGCACAACCGACAGTGACGATCAATTAAGAACAATTGCAAGAAAAACGTGTGCGGGAGACAGAGGATCATTTTAAGACGGAGATATTTGCAATGAAATACGAATGTATACCAGTGATAAGATAAGAAAGTCCAGAAAAACAACGATTGCGGGGTGAAAATGGTATTGAAATAAACGAATTCAACATTCCAAGAATCAAGTTCAAGACGACGGACGAGTGACGATACCGGCATGGAGGATCTCATAGTAGAAACAAATAGAATGAATCATTGACGAGGTCCGGCGCGACCGTTTCTCTCTACTGTAGTTAAATAGAATAGACGGATTACTTACGCGTGCACGGTGATAAAAAGTCAAAGGTAGCTTAGCTTTATTTGAAGGAGGACGGGCAGGGAGGGGAACTCTCATTAATCCATTAGGATCCGACACTGTTAATTATATTATTCAATTAGTATGAACCTTAACGTCATCGAATACGTCCTCCGGCATTATTTTTCTTTCCTCTCCTTCCTTCCGCGAGGCTGAGAACGAAATTTGGAGCGGTTAAGGCGAGATGAGGGGAAAGGACCCAGGGAGGAGGGAGCGATGCACCTACAAAGATTTCCGACTTTTACTCGGCGCGATCACGAGATCCAAGTACGTCCAAACGCTACGTGAAAAAGGATCCGTCGACGAGGAGCTCCGCTCGCGCGCTCTATGTACCGTCTCGTGCGAGCCGCCTGCCTGTCCGTCTCACCGCCGTGGCATTCGTCGTCGAAAGGAAAAGCCACTGGAATGCGATCATGTATGTCACCGCGACACTTCCGTAACCTTGGGCACTCAGGGTGTTATCGAAAAATTACGAGAAACCGTTAAACGATGCATCGACATAGCACGAAAGAGGAATAGAGAGAAACAGAGAACAGCCATGTCGCGTATATATTTGTTGTGTATGCGTGTACGTGTTGTGTGCTGTGTGTATGCGCGCGCAAGCGCATCGTGTGCGTGTGCGTGCAAATAAGAGGGAGACAGAAGGAGATGGACTATGTGAGATAGCGGAAAAAGAATGCGAGAGAAAAAGAGAGCACAGATGAGGGAGCGAGCGAGAAGGAAGGAAGGAACAGAGAGAGGCAAATAAAGGGAACGGGAACGAATGCGCCACGATTGTCACTGCCCTGAGGTAACTTGTCACCGCCCGTCGAAACGTCAGCAACATTCGAAAGATAGGATGTTCTCTCCTCCTAGGAGGGAGAAATTGGAGCTTTCATGTTTCACCCTGGTCTCAAAGAGACAGTGAATGAGAGAAAGAGAGAGAAACAGACAGGGTGACACGATCGGGTGACAGGATGACACGCGTTCGCCGTCTCCTCGCCTCCCTTGTCCAGTGTGCACCCTCCAGTATAAACATTCTCCAGAATATAAACATCCTCTCTCCTGTCGTCGGCCGTTCTTCGAAGGGGGTTGGATAATTCATTGGAGGATTCGCTTACTCGTTCGTTTCGCACACTAATAAACGCGGCGCTCGCCGCTCTTCTTCGTGCAGAATGACTGACACCTGCCAAGAGTGAAAATTCTAAGTTCTCAAGAAAGTTTATGTTTTTAACCTGCTTTGCGTTGTCGAGGGGCACGCCGTTAGATAGGTACGTCGCACTGGGCTAGCTTCTTCTCGGGAGAGGGGCGACAACGGCAACCAATGCTGCGATGAAGATGATTTAACGTCGACTCGTTGCCGGAGCGTCAGGCTAGATCAGCACTCACCACCGATAGATCGGCTCGTCGATCGTGCATAGATCGCGCAATTTATGTAGAACGTGCACATTTATGACAGCTTCCGGATGGCACGCGAAACTCTTCTGGAGCTCGCTCCTCTCCTTCGTCCCACCGGATCACCGACTCTTCGGAATCCTCTCTCGCTCTCCCCCGCTACACTCGCTCGCTCGTTCTCGTTCTCGTTCGTTCGCACTTGATATCGCTGTGCACGACGTTCCGTTTTTTTTTTCTCCGTGGGAGGTGCGTGTCGCCGCCCGGCCGCGTAACACTCGCACGACTCGCACCCCGCGATCGCGGCTCGTTTCTCCTCTCCTCCGTAACCTACATCGACGGGCACCGACGACGGATACGTCGACGAGTAGTCTCGGAACTTTGACACTCCGATGGGAGAGGGAGAGACAGAGGAAGGAACGAATGAGAGAGAGACTGACAAGGAACGAGAGGGGAGGAGAGAGAAAGAGAGAGAGAAAACGAAATTACCGACACCGCACCGCGATGCATACGGTGCTGCGTCACTTTTCGCCCGTTCGTTCCGCTTCGGATCTCCCCGAGGGTCGCGCGTGATCGCAAAATGGATTCACCCACCGAATTCGTTACGTCCGAGTTCGCGGCAAACGAAACGCGAGTCTTAAGCGCGGATACGCCTCTCTCGTGCGGCTCCCACCCGACTCGGTTTTGTCTCTCCGCCGATTCCACCGATAACGTCCACGTACCGACCAGTACCGACCACTACGAACAAGCACGGACAAATAGGAATTAGCCAGGGCGAAGACCGACAGCATATTGCGTCAGCATTTCCATGTGCTGTCGTCGAGACGCCATCTCACGTCGAAATTTTGCACGTGACCACCAGAGGCTGTATAGTTGATTAGAAACGTGACGTAAAACTTTACTTTTGCTCGTTTTGTTCTTTTTCGAAGAATAAAGTTCAGAACACCTATCAAAACAAAATCGGAATGGATTCCGATCGGAATTATTAGATTATTCCCTAGATTTCTATTGTGTTTTCTGGGAAAAATGGAATAATTCTGATTGGAATTTTTCGACTTTGTTCCATGATAGGTGCCTCGTATAAAGAAAGAAGAGAGGAGAATGAAATCAATTATTTTTTTCACTGTGTTTATTTATTTGATTGAATGGTCTACGGCTGCGTTCAGCAAAATATTTATTTTGCAATTATTGGAAATTTTCTTCGCACTGATTGGGTTATGCTTTTAGATCAAGAGGAACGGTCCTACCTCAGCAGACAATCATAAAACGGTTGCAAAACTGTTGTGTTCTGTTGAACGCAGTCATTGGCAGAAAAAGCATTTGCAACTGTTGGAAAATTCTTTAATATGATTGAGTCGGGCCTTCAGTTCTTACGACGAATAAAATATCAGCTCTGCCCTACGTAAAAACATCACACATGCCGATTGGTTCCTGCGATAATGTGGGACGCGATTGGCTGATTTGAATCATGTCGGTTTTTAAAAATGGGCGTCCTCGTTTGAGATTCTTTCACATGTCATGTCATATGCTGCCTTTTGTTTACGTCCGAAACGCGCGACGTCAGCGACAGAACGCGATATTCATCGAACTATGATTTCCAGTACCTTTTGAAGAAACATTTCCACCGAGTTTTGAGATGTACCTGCATTTGAAATACACGCGGCGATAAATTTTTAAAAGAAAACCAGCTGACACATTAACATCTTCGGCAAAGTGAATTTTATTGGGATCTCTCTGCGAAATATTTTAGTGCGATAATGGAGAAATATCAGCATATGAGAGCGTTTATATCAGCGGCCTTAGAATACACCAAGCACCCCAGCGAAAACGTAATCTCCGCTATACAAAGAAGTCTTGGAGTAAATATGAAAACACATTTATGTTTAATACACTTATATTGTTATTGTATTTTTAAAAGTACTATTTATAAATTTATATTTTTAAGGTGATTAGCGCATCACTGGACCTGAGTATATTTGATCCTGGGACTAGTGTAGCCGCGGAGTTCTATGTAAGTCTGTATGAGCTTATGAACTCCATAGGATCACGATCCACTTTAATCTGGAGCGCCGTGGATGTTTTGCAAAACGCTTGTCGGAATATACCTGCTAGGCAGTCACTTATTCATGTATATAAATTTGCGCCGATCTTAGCAAGATTATTGGAGGTATAGAATTTAATAACTCACATATTGTTTTTTTCCATTAATCATATAATCCATTGTGTCTCATCATTCTATTTATAGGACAGCACTTTTTAAAACTAAAAATCAATATACTTAGACTCAAAATTTTAAAATAAATTAAATGATATATGAAGGCTACGAGTCAATGCAGGATGTTAAGTGATAATAAATAAATTTTAATCGTACAATAATTTAAATATAATGCTAAACGTTTCGACCCTCATTATATTATAATATAAAATGTATAAATAAAAAAGGTCGCAAAATTACAAAAGTATTATTTAATACTTTTGTAATTTTGCGACCCTTTTTATTTATATATTTTTATATTGAGGATGACTTAATGAAAATCGAAACATTTAGCATTGTATTATTGTAAGACTAAAATTCATTTAATCTTTAGCACCTTTTTAATTTTTTTCTCTATATGGAATATTAAAAAAAATTTTTTTATACATATAAATTATATAGGCATGAAAAAAATCAAAAAGATAATACATGCATAGAAAAAAATTGGAAAGATGTTCTATAAAATAGGATGATGGGAAGAAATGGAGTATATTATTAGGTACCTTTAATAACCAAATAATATAAATTAATAATCAAATTAATATAAAGTTCTTTCGAGCATTGTAGGCGAATTTAACAACTGAAAAGAGGATACGAGTATTGAAACTATTACAAGAATTAACATACGGAATCAAAATCTCATGGCAAGAGACTCAGCTTCCATATTTAATTTCCACATTAACTCAATGGGTAGTACAATCAAAAGAAGAAGAGATTATCTCTCTATCTTTAGGTGTACTGGTAAATCTATGTTATAAAAATCTTCCGGCAGTGTACACGCTGATGCGAACCATCAATACCAAAGCATTTATTAGAACGTTAGTGAAATTACAAGGTCATGTCAATACTAGTGTACAATGTTGCAAGTTATTAATTATATTGGAGCCAAGTAACACGAGCATGTATGAGAAATATATCACAGATTTTGCATCGGTAACGTTTATTAATCTGGGAAAAGCGATGAAACAAAAAGATGTTTTATTATTGAGACATATCGTTGACTTTTTTAACGATATTGGGCAAAACGAACATTGGCGAAATGTTCTACTTACATATTCGAAGTAAGTCAATCAAATCTGGTTCTTATATAACATTCAATGCATAAAATATTTCATAGATAAAACATACAGAGTGTTATCAAAAAAGGATCACAGATTTTAAAAGTATATAGAACAATAAAAAATAAATCAAAAGGTCCTAATAAACATAGGTCCGAAAACGAACGGCTAAGATATTTCTTGGACCAAATTTTCGGACCAACTTTACTAGGACTTTTTAACTTAGTTTTTGTTATCCTGTATGCCTTTAAAATCTATGACCCTTTTTTGATAATATCCGATATACTTATATACGTTTTTAATGTTGACTAGTTACGGCAAAGATATTGAAAATATATTGGCCACTTTGGAAGAGAACACAGACCCGGAATGCGTCGCTCTCATGATGGAATTTTTATTATTATTGGTAAAGCTGAAATTAACTGCCATAACGCCTTTGTATCCTGCATGTATAAGATCAGCTATGACATGGGTACCTGTGGAACAAGTACGTAATCTTTATTATTTTTTTCTTCTTAGTCTTTTGGCCTTTGTTACACCTTTCTTATGTACTTGTGGTGCGCGCGTTGATTATTCAAAATTGCCACAAGCATATGGGACCTATAGTTTTAATGCCAGTTCCGAATGGCCGGTTTTTCGAAAGGTGTTTCTGTAGGCAAAGATACTCTCAGAAGATTGCCGGTCTTTTCCGAGAGGAGACACAAGCGAAAATATTTTGTGAAAATATTTTAGTTTCTACCGAGATCGAACCCGAGATCTTTGGCATGATAGACCAGTGCGCTGTCTGCTATGCCACGCTCGCGCTCGTAATCTCTATTATTATCTTTCGTAATTCTTATTAATGCAATAATTCGAAACGTGTAAAGAAAAAGATAGAATACGAAAAATTAATCAGTAATTTAATCAAAGTTTCCGTTGAAAAATGTAGGTATGTTCAAAAGCTTTAGCACTTATACGAAGCATAATAATTGATTCCCGACGCACCAGAACCTGTGCTGAAGTTTTAACAGAGATAGATCCGTCTGTCCTAATGCTTATAACGAATCAGGAGGACGAAATTAATGATCAAAGTGAAGGTCAAAACGCAGAAATGAAGCAAGCCGAATTGATGCAGCTGTTTCAAGAAATGATTAAAACTCCTGCGCTGAAAAAGAAAATTATGAGCTCATTCAATGAACATGCAATGCGCAAACAGTTCAATCATGTGCTGAATAATGAATTTTCCGCCTGTGGAGATTGGACCAGAAACTTTATGCAGGTTAATACAGAATTTAATATGCTGCACGTTATTATAGTGTATTAAAGTGTTAATTACATGTTTTCGGCTTTACAGAATGCTTCTACCAACCTTTACATTCACGCCTTAGCCTTGACAGCAGATTTGGCAGCGAATCATTCCAACTGGTTAACTCTATATTCCGAATTGCTCAGTAAAAAACAAATACAAATGATAATAGCACTAGCATTGTTCACCGGTGATGCAGAAGTTAAACACAAAGCCTTGCAGTTGACATCATCGATTGGATTTCCACAAGAATGGTAAACCTTTCACATGTGATAAGATGTTCATCTTAATTTAACATGTGACAGTTGTACATATAGAATTTCTGTTTGAGAAGTGTTTCCGCAGTGGCACTTTGCATGAAAGAATTAGAACCATTGATATTGGTTCAAAATACCAATAACAATATATTGGAAATCTCGAGTAAAGTATCCCTGAATTATATCGGGAACGAATTGGCGCCGTTATTTTCCTTCAAGCAAGAAGAACGCCTTGATGCGTTTTTAACCAAGCTCGAATCAAATCAAATTAATGATATTCCAACGTCCGCGGTCATGGAACTATATGAATATAAGGTATAAAATTTATACATTATAATCTTTTTTTACATAGTGTACACAGTTTGATATATCTTATTATATTGTAACTAATTTCTTTAAAGTTAGCAACAATGAGACATTCTGAAAAGGCAATGTGGTCAAGTTTAGAAGCAGCAAATAATCATGCTACTAGTCTACAACACAGGTTAGCACAAGTAGTGGCTGAGTCTAGTAGATTACATCAGTTATTATTTGATACCCAACAATCTTTGGAAGGAACAAAAGCGGAAAAGTGTGCATTAACGGAAAAATTTATCGAGAAGGAAAATCAATCTCAGAAAGCGCTTTCGTTAAAAAAAAAAGTGAGTGCTTATTATTATACAAATGCGAAATTGCTTTAACAATTTCTTTAATTTTTATAATAATGACTATTGCATTTTAGGAGAATGAATCCTTGAAAAAAATTGTAGCCGAAAAATCGACAAATTTAGAGAATTTAAATGAAAAACTGACACAGTGTACAAAAGACTTGGAAGATAGTAATAATAAAATTGATATATTAACCAAAAAAATCAAAGAATTAGATAATGAACTTTTAATTGCCGAAGCAAAGGCTACAGATATGAGCAATAAAAATCATGAATTAAGTAAACTTTTACAAAAAATGCAAGATTCCCTTAGCAAAAAAGAACAGGTATAGTAATTCTCTCATTATTTCATCTCTAAAAATGTTTCTAACATAAATTCTATGTTATATTTTATATATTATAGATCTTAGAGAAAAAAAGTGCAGAGATAGAAGCAAATCAAAGTGATATATCTGCACTTAAGCAAGAAATTGAACAAATGAAGCATATACTGCAGACCTCTGAACAAACCATATCAGAAAAAGATAGAAATATTCAAAGAATGAAAGGAGAATTGAAAGAATTGAGCCGTATGCGGGATATGATCTTTGAGCTCACTGCTAAAAACAAAGATGATCTCAATTCAAGTTAGCGATTCTGATGCTTTTATTTAGGAAAATTTAAATACACAACGTATATTTTAACATAAAAAAATTTATTGAAGGAATACGTGGTAGAAATACGATCAAAAAATTTATATACAAATAATCGATTATTGTTATTGTACGGCTGTTCATTGCTTATTCAATACGATCATTACATTTTAATAAAATGTTTTATATAATTCGCACATAGGATAACTATTATATTTTTATCATAAATTAAAACGTGAGTGTACATCATTTTGCATACTGTTACGCAAATTTTCGTACTATTAAACATATTATTATATAGATTAAAGATATATAGTATAAGCATGCAATATTCCATATAATTATTTTTCTGTTGTGTTAAATACGATTGCTAACGATTTCTACTTATTTTATATTAAAATACGTAAAATGAAATTTCTATAATTATATATCCTGCTGTTTTGAATGACGAAATCATTTTTTTGCGATTGTATATCATTTTCATGTATTTTACTACCACAAATGTATACTATGTCAATGAAATATTAATACTGTTACAATTTTTCACTTACATAATAGAGAAGATTTGTCTTACTACCACTTTGGTATTATAAATAAATAATACCTTCGTTTTTAAAGTCATATACATATATATATATATATATATATATTCGACAAGGAGAATTATTCAATCTTCGGGTGTTTCGCGGGTGAGTGCTCCAATACATTGTTGTGTATTATGCACAAGCTGGGGCATTGCGGCAGTGATGCGAGTC